GCACTCTGTCCTCAGAGAACAAGTTTCCATTCAACATTATTAATCGAAAGCAAGAGTCCTCAACACAAATTTATAGTCATCCATACACACACACACCTTAAAACCCTGTGTTTTTTTTTCCTTTTCCATTCTGAGCAAACAAAGAACTGCATCTTCACACAGGTGTAAACAAGCAAAAGTTCATGCTGATGGCAGTGTATTTTCTGGACAACAACACAAGAATAACGCTGAGTTTGCAAATCCTCTTACAAGCTTACAACCAACCCATCAAAACAACAAATGTTATAAAAGTACTTTCCTTTGCCGCGCGTTAATCTTACAAATAATCTGCATCTGACTGAATGTGAATGCTGGTAGCAAGCCCACGTTTCCCTTGATCTCCCAAGACTGTTTTCATTGTACTCATTTGCATCAGCAAGACATGCTTTCGCTATGCTCATTTCCCCATCCCCAAGCTCTTGGGCAAGTTCAAAAGTCTTGGCCCCTCCGATGTATCAGGTATGAATTAATACCCTTCCTTAACAGAACACAGCAGCAAAGTGGAAACAGACACTTGCGAGGCAGTTTTCTTTGAAAGGAACTGCGGGGACAAATGGTGACAATGAAGCTCCAGTTATAAAGTAAAAAGGTCAAAGGTTCAGGCAGGCATAAGGATTACAAAACTACAAGATCGCCAGAATTCCCCCCACAGGTTTAGACAACCAGGGTCAAGCAGTAGCTTTCCAATTAAAGCCTGCTTTAAGGCTGCTCTGTCCTTTGAACTTCATAGGGTAAAAAAAGATAACTTTCTTTTGTAGAAGTTCTTTTGAGAACCCATCTCAAAACTAAACAGAAAGGGCACCTGACAACAGCTCCCCCAAAACAAACAGTGCAGGATCCCCTCGCTGCGTGCGTGTGGGGGAAGCTGGGGTGAAGTAATCATGTTCTTCTGTATTAGTGTGCTGACCCTTTGTAGGGCATGAAATTAACCATCAGCAAGTAAAAAATCTGCTACTGGTTAAACTACTTTGCTACGCAAAGTGGTCTTAAAATGAAATATGGGGATTGAATTTCTCCTGGAAGATTAACTTGTGTAACCTCTCTGCAGGCATCCCCTACTGCTGAACTCATTTGAGACCCTTCTGGATGCATGGGTCTGGATGCAAACAAATGTTAAATCAAATCTTTTACTATGATGAAGGCAACATCAGCTTCGGGGAATGCTGGAGAGCTGAGATTCAACACAAGAACAGAGGCTTTAAAATCACAAACAAAACCCATAGCATTGCAACAGAAACAACCTAATTTCAGTGTGAAATTCTGTGAGAACATCACTTAGATCTCTATAGCAATAGAGGAAAAACAGCCCCATAGAAAAAGCAGCGTTGCATTTTGCAGTCATTCCTTCAGGGCAGAAGGCAAGCACAAGACTAATGCTAATGCAGATGCTTCGTGTCACTTGTGACAAGCCAACGAATTGACCATTAAAATTCAGTTATTCAGATTTGTTTTCTGTTAAGCAAACTGACTTCCAACAGCTATAAATACAAACATTTGGCTTGTTGCACAGCTTATTACGTGTAAGATAATCCTCTGCTGCAACCTTGAAATTATTATAAACTACCAGAAAAAACATTGTGTTCCTGCTCTTCAGAAGAACATTTATTTAGAAATAAATGAAGTACGTGGCACAGTCCAAACCATGCAGCTATCCACAGTACACCTTCCTGCAGTATCAAACTCACAAAAGTTGAGGAATAAATCAGCATGGCTTAAATACAAGTGAAAACTACAATGTGGTGAGTCAAGTATCACTTATTCCATTCCAGCCTTTGACTATCATCTTTCAGATAACAAGAGAGCACTTTGGGCAGAACTGTCTGCAGCACTTCCAATTCCCAGCATGCAGGTTAACAAACAAACAAAGAGAAAGAAAAAAGAGAAAGAAAAAAAAAAGAAAACCCCCCAAAAACCCTACTTTTGATTTAATATCTGATACGTTGTTTTGTTTTTTCCAAGGGCAGGCTTTGTAAGAAAAATGCAGCCGCAGAGAATGAAATATGACTTCCATTTTCCATTCCATCTGGTTACTGTTCAAATATTCTGCACCCTGAATCCTAAGGTGCTGTCTCTATGTAAGCATCCTGTGAATGACTGCGAGAAGTATTCGCAAGGTCAAGTGCTACCTAGTGCAGCATGACCAAAATGCAATACTAGATTCAGCCATAAAAATGCCCTTCAAGAATTAGCTAGAGACAAAAATACGTTAAAGAAGAGTAAATAGTTTCAGCGAGTCTGTGAGTGGATTTATCAGCTTTGTACAGCAGAGGAATCAACCCTTAGGAGTATCTTGGGTGCACAGAAGAGATGGCAGTTATAGAGGATGGAGCTGCTAGGACACAACCTGGGAGAGCAGGCAAACAAAAAAAAAAAAAAGAGAAGGGCAGAGATGACACCACTGCTTTCTCCTTTTCCCAAGAAGGAACCTCCTGAGCTTGTCTGGTGGTAGATTGGACAAAATGAATAAACCCAGAGCTGCTCAGCAATCCCATAGGATGGAGCCATCAATGGGGAGCCAACTAGTTTATAAAGCCTTCAGAGAGAAGGCTTCAAACACAAGCATGCGGTTGCATATTTTCACACTTGTAGCTTCAACATTAAAAGCCACATGCATGAGGGGTAACACAGAAGAAAAGGCTGCTACAGGGCCCTCCCATCACCCTTCCAGCTCCTCACAGCCTTCACATCTCCCATTTTTCTGCAAGCTAACTCACATCTACAGCTATCTCAGGACACAGCGAAGAGCACTATTTTCAAGAGCTGTGGAAAATCCAAAGTGCAGAATAAAGACAGGAAGATAAAGCACTTCGCTCTTATATTTTATTTAAAAGCTTTCAATGCAGAAAATTTATGATAAAAGGAAAAAGTAGATTAAAGAAAAAAAAAAACCAACACCACAGCCTCCATGGTTGTAATGAAAATGGAACAGCAAACTGTTTCCATCTATTTCCTAATCACAACTGTTCAGACTAAATTTTAAAGTACTGTGATCTGGGCAGCCTGGCTTTCTGTTTCAGACAAGGTGGCAATACTGAAGTGATGCTTAAACACTGAAGGATGTATCCTGTTGCACAGGACATGCTATACTTCAGTTTGAATTTCACCAAAACATACTAAAATTGCAAGTGTTCCCACCAGCACAGATCAGGTTTTAACAACAAGGTCTCACTTTTTAAACCTGGTAGTAAAAAATAAAGGAGCATCCAATGTCAAGATTTATGTGTATGCTACCAAGCAGGCAGCTGAAATTTCTAGCTCCAAGTATTTACACAATACTGTATTTTCTCTGCCATTCTGTTTCTCAACATATAGAATTGCATTAAGTCATACTAATCAAACAATCAAGAGTTTTCACTAGAATATGTAACCTGCTATAATTGGAACTATAGTTCCAACAAGTTTGACACGCTTTGTGTCTGAATTGCTACCTGCACTTTTGCTGAGAAGAAAACCACCATTCAACTAGTCTAGCCCACATCCTTTCCCAGCACAGCATTACAGTGACATAAATTGAATAACTTACTCTACCAGTGTGGGTAGCAGTGAGTAAATGCTCTAACATCTTCATAAAAACAATTAATAGGAAGCGATTAAAAAAAAATAATCTATGTATTAAGCAACACCCCAAACAAGCAGTAACAAAAGCTGTTTTTCCCCAAGCTTTCAGAGACCTCTTCATAAGGAAAGTTTAGCCCTCAGAGCAGTTGTTTCCTGAAGAAAGGAATGCCCATCTACCAGTCACTCTGTCAGTCCACCCAAGAAAAGCTACCATTTGCCAAAATACACTTTGTTCATCAGAAGATAATCAGGTGCTTACAAGCACTTAAGATCGGTAACTGATTGTAAAGCACGAAAGACGACAGCAGATCTCTGGAATTCAGCACTGAGCCACTCCTTGCAGCCACAGAGCACACATTACTAACGCTGCTGCAGAAATCAAGAAATGAGTGAAATGTTTATTGTTCTATCCAAAAGAAATGCAAACAATACCATGTTATCACTGCTAACATCACTCACACGTCTGCTCTGACAGGGTTGGTTCATACAGCAAGAGGAGAGAATAAGTCAGAACCTCAGTCCAGCTGCCAGTAAACACACGCTGCATTGCAGAACAACCTCCTCCCTGGTACAAAGGGGACACGAGCAAGAAAACGCATGGGAAATAAATTTTCAGAACTTCTTATACTTTAACTGACCAACCTGTGGCTGCAGTTCTTGCTGTTCCTTTGGGCACAGGATGACTGAATCACTAAGATTGGAAAAGACCACTAAGATCACTAAGTCCAGCTGTCAGCCCACCTGAACCTCCCACGGGGCATCTAGATGCCACTCACTCATTACTACTTGTCCTACTGCTAGTTACCTGTGAGGCTCATAACTGACACTAAGGAGACACCAGCACTGAAGATGCATGGGAAATGACTTTTCAGAAGTTTCTGTACTTCAGCTGACCGACCTGTGCCTATTTCACATTGCCTGCAGCCACAATCCCCACTGTGCCCTTAGCCATGCACAGCCACCTCCCAGCTTTGGGCAAGAAACAGAAAAGGTCCTATTTTTCATCTAACAATGTGAACTTGCTTTAAACGAGCTCTAAAGCAAGCCAGAATCAACTTCTCACATCATATACAAAGTCTGAAATGGAGCAAATTCCACTTAACGCTTCCAACGCTCCTGTGTGAGAGCTCAGAGCAGAAGAGCTTGCCGTGTGCACGTCCAGCAGGTGCAGCACAGCTCCAAGCACAGGGCGCAGCGCACTGCGGCACGGGGAAAAGCAGCAGCTGCCCTCACAAACTGCAGGCGGGGTCTCACAGGCAGGAAAATTTTCATTCCAGAGAAGTGAGCAGAGTGGAGCCGAAGGAAGTCGCGCTTATCTGCGAGCGTAGGGTTAATCTAAGGGACAACGGGGGCGGTGGGGACCCGAGTCCCACCCTCAGCGGCACCAGCGGGGAGCCCCTTACCGCCGATGATGGTGCGGATGAGGGAGGCGTGCCCCGGGCAGTCGACCAACGTGAACTGCAGCTCGCCGGGCCCCGGGCCCAGCTGAGGCGGCAGCGCGGTGCGCAGGCAGGAGAAGCCCAGGTCCAGCGTGATGCCCCGCGCCCGGCTCTGCGGCGCCCGGTCGAAGGCGGCGGTGGAGCTGGTGGTGCTCAGCGCCCGCGCCAGAGCCGTCTTGCCGCTGTCGATGTGGCCCAGCACTCCCACGTTCACGTTGAGGACGCGGGGCGGCGCGGAGTCGGCGGCCATGGCGGCGCTGCACCCGGGCGGTCCGTCCGCACAGCGCCCCTGCGGCAACGCGCATCCCGCCGCCACCGTTCCGCGCTGCCCCGGCCCGAGCCTTGAGCTGCAGCTTCAGCCTTCCTCAGCCTTTAGCCTCCGCCGGCCCCAGCCCCTGCGGCCAAGGACAGCCACGCACAGGTGCCGCTCGGGCTAAAATCTGGCTTCACAGTTGCCCAGACATCGTGAAGTCAAACGCAAAAAGCAGGTCAAGATCTGGGTAATTCTCTCCCTTCTTTTTTTAAAAGGAAGAGAATTACCTGGATCTTGACCTGTTTGACCTTAACTTGCTCACTGATTTCTGGATTTGTGTAATTCCTCTTCCTGTAAGTATATTGTGTAGGGTGCCCCCTGAAAAGCATACTTTGATGGGATTAAGAATGATCAAGATGAGTAACTGCACCAAAGAGCTGTCCTGCAAACCACCATCACCAATTATACAACCCACCGATGGGTTTGACAAGCATCCGAGTACTAAAAGCAGTAAAATTGAGCCAGAACGGGCAGCCCAGGGAAGTGGTGGAGTCATCCCTGGGGGTGTTCAAGAACCATGAATATGTGGTACTGAGAGACATGGCTATGGGCATGGTGGGGATGGGTTGGCATTGGACTTGGGGATCTTGGGGATCTTTTCCAGCCTCGATTATATGATTCTATGGTTCTGTCATTCTGACATTCTAGTCAATGACTCAACGATGGGGTTGGGGGGATGGAGGGGGGAGAAAAAAAAAAAAAAAAAAGCAGACTTTCCTAGTGCACAGTGCTATTTGAAAAACAACTATCTCCCTGAAGGAAAGACATGAACCCACAGAACTCACAAGGAGGGCTGCCAATATACTGAGCTAACCAGGTTAATCGGTTTCGTTAGCAGCATAGTTCAACTTGATGGGAGCTCTGTCATGGGAACTGAATCAAGCATAATGTCACTTTTCAGACCAAGTTCCCAGGCTTTGAATAGTTTCCTGTTAATCATAAGGCTTCTTAGCTTATGTACATTTCACTGCCCTAAAAGTCTCAAGCTGTTATATCAATACATACTTGCAAAGCTAATGGAAAGTATACACTATTCCCACAAGAAAAGGCCCTACACAGTCATAATCCACACAGATATCCCTACATAATATTACATACAATTTAATTCTTTTTCAACATTAACTATTAGATAAGTTGAGAAGAAAAAGGTGCAAAGAGGTCCATTTCCCAACCAGAAGATGCATTATCCGGAATGGCATTATCCAGCAGTCCTCCCAACACATCTAAAATACCAGCTATTTTTCAACAAGCTTTGACAAAGCTCAGAAATCTTAAAAGTTTCTACAATTCCTGTAAAAACTGGGAGTGAGGTAAAGGAAATGCCCATTTCAATGGCCCACACAATCTAACAGGCTATAGCAAGAGCTCAGGCATGACCAGTTTGCTTGGACTTCCAACTTACCAATAAAACAAAGAGCTTTTGCTTTTGGTTTTGCTTTGACAGTAACCAAAGGGATACTGGACAAAACTCATGGGAAAAAATCGGTTTTGCTAAGATGTAATAAGGAAAGATTAAAAGCAAAAAATCTGACCTGCAAGTAAGGGAGATATCAGGTGGGAACTGTGGCTTATTCCTTTCCTTCCTCTAGACACAGAAAAGACTTGCAACTCACTAGACAGAGAAGGATTTGTCCTTGTACAGAAGGGAAATAACATGTAAAGAACGTGCACTTAGTGGCAAAAAAAGATAAGTTTGCTCCAGTGTCCACAGTTTTGTTATCACTCAGAACATGCCTCTGTCTCCAGGAATTTATAGTCTGTAGTTCAGATTTGGCTATATATCACCTGAAGACACAGGTTTTTGCAAGATCGTGGTGCACATGGTACCTGTAAAATACACCAATAGCAAGGAGGAGGTATAACAGAGCTATGAACAATTTTATTCAGTGGTCCATTCTAGTTGTTTATAAAGTCTGCATAATTAATTAAGGATTTGGGAATTAAGAGATGTCATTTGTTAGGAGTCATCACTCCTTTTGCTTCGATGAGGAAAGACAGGAAAAACCTTTCAGTTTCATTTGCAGGAAAGCAAACAAAACACACACAGATATTTACCTTACTAAGACAGAAAGGAGATAATGGCAAAATTAAAGAATCTCAACTTCTTCGTGTTTTTCAATATCATCAGGAAGCAGTCAGCATTTCTCTCTTATTCTTGTTTTCTCCTCAAAACTCCATTCCCCTTTCCAGTTCTTCCCTTCTGCACTGAATTTCTTCCTTAAAAAGTGTTCACTTTAATTGCTAAAGTTTATGGACTCATGGGAGAAAGGGCAGGAAGTCAGACTTTTGGGATAAGGTAAAAATGTAAAGGTCATTCACACACTTACATACACGTACTCTTTCTCCCTCCAAAAATAATACACTATTTGACAGTTTCAGGATTCGGCATGTCCCACTGAAATTTGAAAGCTTATGTGAAACTAGGCCACGTCCTGTAACCTCAAACATTTAGACTAGGAAAACAGCTCTCCAGTCCCCAGCTCCCACTTCGGGTATCACATGACGTCTGTGCCAAACAGGAGACCTCAAACAGGGGGGAAAAGAAACGCTGGTAAAATCAGTTGATTAAACCTGGGGAATAACAGTTCAGACCTTTAGTGACAGGTATTATTTTTTCTGGTTAACTGGCTAGTGAAATATTAAATTATACTCAAAGCACTCATAACATGAGATGGGCAGAATGGTCTATCAGCCAACTTATGTTCCACCCGGTGGCATGGGCAAAGGAGAAAGCTGACTCAAGATCTGTAGGAAAGTGCTACCCTTCCCCTGTAACAGATGTGCCAACTATTCAAAATCACAAAACTCATGTTGAGATTCAGTATTTCCTCATACTGATGCATCACAACACATCAGACATCAATTATCACAGATCATTTAAGCTATTTAAGTTCAGTCCTAAACTTTCCAGTAGTTCTACTTTACTCTTTCTGACAAATAAACAACTGATCCTGGGTGGTCTAAAGGATTGTTGTTTATTTTCCTTCACCCAAACGTACTTTCCTTTCTGCAACTGCAATTTCAGTACAAAGAACATGTGGAATGAGTAAAACAGTCAACACAATGAGATGTGCCAAACCATTCAGAGTTTATGAACAGTGATGCTAATTTGAGCAAGTAAGAGGGAGAAGATAGCTCTGCATCTGTCATGTAAACAATTGTTTACTTTTTAACACATATCTATAGACAGAGAGAAAGAAATACCCACTTCTACTGCAAATACAAAGCCAACCCATTTTCATAATGATTTCTGTGTATCAGTACTAAAACTGTATCTTCATCATGGCAGCAGATGATGAGCAAAGATGATCCCTACCAGATTGAAGTTTTAGGCTCCAGTTCTATCTTTAAGACACCATATTGCTTTAGAGAAACAATTAGTCAGAAAAGCTTCCAGTTTTGTTTCCTTTCAGATAAGTAAGTGCTACTCACTTTTATCAGAAAATCTCTAAATAAATCAGTGTTTCTAATGCAGCATATCTGACCTTTAAATCTCCTCTAAATTATAATGACCACTAAATTAGAATGACCATAATTTTCTATTCCTGCCATCTATATTCCTCTACACTGACTTTCACCAAAGAGAAATATATATAACTATATCACTGCCCTCAGAGCTCCTCCAAGCCTTGTTAATTATTCTTCCAGAACTGGCAGAAACTTGAACTCTGACCAGACATACCCACAGCACTTGTGGCAGCACAATGCACTAGAGAAATCAAAGTTGTATATTTGCTCTTTTACAGAAAAAAATGTCTGCAGCTCAGTACATATTAGGCATTTGTATTCTGTGACTAATATGACCCTGGAAGGATGTGTAGGGTCCAACAGTATACATACTTTTTTAATTATTTAAAGGATAGCTTGTATTTATTAGATTCAAAAATTCTTAGCTACAAGAGTTGAAATGAGAGGATATCCTTACAAAGGTGTTGAACTACATATGTCTGCAATTATATTGTGATTAGTTTTAAACTAGATTATGTAAATATAAACTGACAGAACAACTTAGCAGAAAAAAAAACCAGCATTCTTTGCTGAATGACATTTAAATCAAAACTAACGGAAGCTCTGAGATGAAAAGGGAATGAATGGCACATAACAGTCTTCACCAGACTTCTGTGACCTGAGCCACAATGCCCACCCTTCCTTCCCAAAAGCCCTTCTGATGTTTTGGATCACTGCACAACTGCTTTGCAGCTCTCCCTGGCAGCCTGCAGCAGAGTTGTGGCAGCAGCTCCAGCAGCACCACACAACATTAGCCCCTTAACGCTGAGCGTTAGGACACAGCTTTTATCATCAAACATAATGTATTAGCAGGAAAATACTAAAATTAGCAGGTTCCTTCTTCTTAGGAAGAGTGGTGATGCACTGGCACAGGCTGCCCAGGGATTGGTAGAGCCGCTGTCCCTGGAAGTGTTCCAGAACTGTGCAGATGTGGCATGGAGGGATGTGGTCAGTAACCATGGTGGTGTCAGTGGTTGGATTAGATGACCTTAGAGGTCTTTCCCAACCTTCACTATTCTATGAGCAACTCCAAAATCTACCAACAAGTCACTGGAGCAGTGAGCTCTGAAACCCTCTGAAATTTCACAGCATTTTCACCCCAAGCACTGATGTACCATGTTAAGAGGTGCAGCAGCACTGCGGAGGAGCCCACAGCTGGCTGCCAGCGATGACGGTGGGAGAGCTGTTACATGAGGGAGCTCTGAGGGTGTGGAGCTGCCTGTCGAGATGATGCCTTTGAAAAGGTAGATAACTGCAGGACAAGGGGAAATGGTTTTAAGTTGAGGGAGAAAAGATTTAGGTTGGATGCCAGGGGGAAGTTTTTTACTATGAGAGTGGTGAGGTGCTGGAACAGGCTTCTCAGAGGGTTGTTGATGCCCTGTTCAAGGCCAGGTTGGATGGGGCCCTGGGCAGCCTGGTCTAGTATTAAA